AGAATTTTTTGGTCATTATATGAGCACTAAAGAAAGTTCCAGTTTTGAAAAAGGCATGGTGGTGTATCCCTATAACCCCAGCACATAAGAGACTGGGGCAGGGAAGATTATGAGGTAGAGACCAACCTAAGCTTTATAGTGAGATCCTGACTCTGAGAAAGAAAAAGCTTCAGATTTGGGGTTTACAAATTAGAAAACGTTCTGCCAATAATCTTATTGTTATGATGTTTTCATTTATTGCTTCAGCTTTACAGAGATAAGTTGTGGAATCCTACAGAACCTAAACTTTGAATTCTAATTCTTCTACTGGATTTAAATAAAATTAAATGTAATACTCATTACAGAAAATGTATTTGGGGATAGACTCTGGGTGGAGCAGGATGGTCCTTACACAAAAGGAACAATGTCAGTTTGGCAACTCATTGTTGATGGACTGATTATACTTTCTGGTCATCAAGAATGAATAAAGAACTCCTAACTATTACCACAAAATAAGTACGGCACTCAGGAAACCTTGGCTCTGTGGCATAGGAGCGCAGCATAAATCAGGGCCGGAACAAGTGGGGCTCATGGGAAGGAAGCTGCTGGATGAAAAGCGCCCTGTGTAAACATCCTAGAAGAGGTCTGAATTAATTTTTTTCATTTATTTATTTAGTAAGGACCTTGGGTGGAACTTTCCTCCAGCAGTGCCTATTGGCCCAATTCTAAGCACTGAGAATAAAGGGTACCAGCCCACTCATCAGGGAGATAAGCCCCATTGGAGACTCAATAGGGAAGCTGTGTTAAAACCACAGTGCTAGTCTGTAAACTAGTCCAAAGAACTGTGTGATCTTTTGGAGGTGGCAAGGGTATCCAAAAAGAGAAAGAGAGAGAGAGAGAGAGAGAGAGAGAGAGAGAGAGAGGGACCTTTGAAATCAGAGACCTTTAAACTTTCTTCCTAATTAAGTAGCATAATTTTCTTTCTGGAGATCATTTTTCAAAGACATATTATTTTCTGAAAGTCTGTTTTCTCTCTGCTAAAGAGAATCATGTGAAAAATTGTAAATATTTTCTAGAACCTGTGGAATTTCAGGTACAATGGGGAAAGGTGCAGATAAAGTCACCGTGTACTTTGCCATGGAAAATGTCACCTTGTTCATCGCCTTTACATTTTTTCTCTTAAGGAAAAAAAATATCCACAGAGGACAGTCATCTCCGCTCAGGACAGCAAGAACAAATCCCACTAAACAAGATTCTCTTGGTGCCAATGTGACCTTAGAAAAATAACATTCTCCATCTGAGGGTCATTATCTGACCTCTGTGTGCCTCAGCTGTCAGGAGGAGACGTGTATATTATGTATTGTTGATATCTGCGTTGAAGCAAGGTCAGAACAGTATAACGAAGTCCCATCTGTAACCTTTAATTAGGCTGAGGAGAGACTCCTAGAGAAAGCCAGCTATCACAAGGAGGTTGTTTGTTGGCTACTCAGCTTTCTGCCACTGCCCTGCTGGGCATGGTAGGGCACACCTGTAAATGCAGACCTCCGGAAGCAGAGACTGCTGGTTTCAGTCCACGAAGGACTGGCTCTGTTGATTTGTGCCTTTGATGATGCAGTACATCATGGCAAGAGCATTTAGAAGAAAGCTCCTATTCATTTCAAGTCTGGGTGCAGAAGAGAGGGAGCAGAGAGGCCATGGCCCCAGTAACCTGAATCAAAGGCATGTTAATATTTTTATTCAAGCTCAGTATTTATTTTATTCCATTTGCTAACTCATTCATTGACAAATCAATGTGGCAGGGAGATTCTGGTAAAAGAATAGTGTATACAGTTTCCCAGTTGCAGTGCACACTACTTGAAATTTGCTCCTGTGAAGCTTTGGGGAATGGTCTAGAGCCAAAAGACAAAAAAAGGACTGTGCTCTGCACCCAAAGATTCAATAACACACCAGTCATCTCCTAGGTCCTTTTTGACACCAACTGACATTTATTGAGTATCTACATTCAATTCAGATACTATAGTGAGTTCTGCTCAAACATGATAAGAAGACAAATGTTTACCTGCAATGAAATTCCCTTAATATACAAATATGATGTCTCCAATCACCATGTGGTACAGAACATACTTTCTAGACAGAATCCTGTTGCTACTGTGGTCTCTCCAGGCAGATATTATCAATGCAACCCAGGACCCAGTGATCCTCTTTCCATCGCCTGGTTGACTCTTCAACCACCCACTAGAACAATGAAGCCTGGCACAATGGACAGCCTATGATGCTAGGGCTCAGGATAGTAGAACAGGAAGATCACACACCTGAAGCTAGCTTAAGCCCACAGCAAATTCTTCCAAAGAGAAAGGAGGAGGAAGTGAGGAACAAAAAAGGGGTCAAAGAGGGGAGTGAGAAAGAGAGAAAAGGGGGAGAAAAAAAGCAGAGCCAGTTTCTCATATGCTTAAGATTGTGCATCCTAATGGTTAGAGCTTAAGTGTCTGGTGTCAGACTCTGAGTCTATGCCTGCCACTTGTTCACTAGGAATTGTGGACAAGTATTTTAATCCACCTGTGCCTCTATCTCATCAATAATAAAAGCAAGGCTATGTGGGGTAGCAACCCTCAGCAGGTTTCTTTCTGTCAAAATGCCATGAGCTGAGTATTTAGAACACTTGCCGAATATTAAGTGGTCAAAACTAACAGCTAGGTATATAAAAGTGTCACCTGTGGACAACAGACTGTTCCAAAATTGGTAGATGAATGTATGATCACCCAAGGGAGAAGGACCGTGAAGATCACTCCACAGATGATATCCCAGAATGATAATGGATCAGTGTCTGGCCTAAGGTCAGGCAGCCACGCCAGAATGCAGCTCTCCGCCACAATGTCATTGACAGGAGGCACAAGAACACACACCTGACCCTTCACTGAAATGCATCTGGGTTCCTGGGGTTGTATCCACCCCAGGAACTGTAAGTTTAGCACAGGAATAGATCATTTTTGTTAGCAGGATGTTAAAGATCCATTTTGTGCACACCCGGTCGATTATGAGAACAGGACAGGTGTCTAACAATCACTTTCCTGTTAAAGACCTCCAAGAGGCTTTTTGTTCATGACAAAAATGTCCCAGGGTACCAAACCACTAGAGCAGAGCTGGAAGACATCACTGGAGATGTTCACACTGCCAGGTCTCCCAGTCCCACCCCCACCCCAGCTGCAGGAGGAGAGCATGTTGGACAAGCAAGGACAAGAAAGGAATCATCTCACCAGGCTTTCACTTGGTCACTGGAGTCGGTTTAGCTTACATTCCCCGTACTGTCTGCTTCACAAACTCTCCTTCACTGTCTGACAGTCCAGCCACCCTTATGGTTGGACTTTCACTCTCAGCAGAAAGCTTCCCACCAACACACACACACACACACACACACACACACACACACACTTCTCATGGATTGTCTCAATGTTCCCAGAAGAGCTCCACACTTTCCAGCCATTGCATCTTTGTCATTCTTCCTCTTGCTCCTAGATGCTGTCTCAGCACTGTGACCTCTTACAACCACCACCACTAAAACAAACTGGCAAAATCCCTTCTCAGAAATGGCAGTCTTTCCATGAAACTACCCTCCACACATTCAGACAGGCTTCTCTCTTTTCAGACAGGCTTCTGTCTATCATCTGCACTCCAGGACCTTCCATGTCTAAGGCCTCAACTGATTCTTTGCCATCTCTTTTACAACCTCACATGCCTGATTAACCAGTTTATCCAGAAGTGGATAAACCCTAGTTCCTAGAGGAGAAGAAGTAATGCAACTGAAGACATCGATGCACAGAAGCTGAGAAGGAAAGCAACAAAGAATGAAAACACAGCAAAAGACGTGCTATATGCCAGGCTGGCAGAACAATGGACACAGTTTAACTCAGCACTCTAGACAATCAGTATGTGTGACTATTTATCATTAACACAATACAAAGGAGGAAACTGGGGAATGGGTGGGAATGAGGCTTTTAGCCAAGATCATTCCGTGGAGCTGTGAACTGATCTTGGCGGGCCAACTCTTATTGCTGCTTTGCAATATTGTCCCTTTAACCCAGCATCCTAAATGCACTTTAATTGTTCTACCTTTGTGGACCATGACTAATAAGTTTTGTACCAAATCCCCACCCACCGCTTTAAGAGATAGAAATGAAAGATCTAGTTCAGTCAAATCTCTCCCCAACAGTAAACAGATACAACCTAACTTTGAACGTCAAAACATTACTCAGACGGAGGACATCATAAATGTTTCCAAAGGAATGGGCTCGGAGCCACCCAGAGCGCAGCATTTCCACCACCTCATCTCTACATGCTGACATATAAACTAGAGCTATCTGCGAGCACACATGCATAATAACCACCCTGGGTATTTTGGGGATGGAATTACAGGTTTAAATACGCAATTACAGGATCACAGGCACATAAAGCGGTCTATCGCATGTTTAATTATTTTGTTAATATCATAAAGGAATTCAGGTGTCCCTCTTTGAGACATGATATTTGCCATTTCAACTACATTCAGACTCTAAGCGAAGGACCTGACAAGTGCTCTGTATGGTTCAAGTTTTAAATAATTTGTCAAGAGTTGTGTTAATTCTGAATGCACCCGAGAGTTTTCTCAGCCTTGCATCCAAACAGGGAGTGGAGAATAGCTAGAACATAAGACGACACAGTGTTGTACCGGAACAAGTAGAGAAGGAGGAGGACGAGGAGGAAGAGGAAGAGTTTAACTTTGGGATGAAGAGAGGTTTACAACAAAACAGCAGCCAAAGTTTTGTTTCCAAGAAATCTTACACTAACACAACCCTTAATAAATTTTAAAGAGCAAGCCAAAAATTGTCCAGAAACCAGGAGAGAAAGAGGCCCGACGTCCCTGTAGTCTTTCCCAGCGTGAGGTATTTTTCGCCCCCTAAGGAACAGAAGTCTGGCAAGAAGGGCAGAAGCGCAGGCTAGAGAGCTCAGCAGGACTAAGATGATGTCCCCAATCCTTCAGGACTTACCTAGCTTGTCCTGGTTCCTCAGCACCTTACTTTCCCCACTTAGCCAGTTAGGATCAGACAGCGGCTGGGCTTTTGTTGTTGGTTCTGTTCTTTTGATAGCAAAGCCCCATGAAAATTAAACTGTGTTGAATGTGATGTGGCCTCGCCTCGCATGGGGGAGGGGGAGAGAAAAAGGTTCAGTCTTGGGTTGTTGCTGATTGCTTCTTGGGTAAGTGAGTAAGTCCTAAGTGGCTAGCAGGAGGCAACGTGGGGGACGTGCCTTTCGGATGGTAGGCCTGGAAGGGGTCCACAAACTTTCTCAGCACAGCTGTCCAGATGTGCTTCATCTGGATCCCGGCGGAGCACTGGCTTGGGTTGCCGTTGGGAGGGCCAAGCCTCCTCCCTGGTTGCCGATTGGTGGAGAAGCCCGCCACTCCCGCTAACTCAGGCTGCCTCCGCCCACTGGGCCGCTCGCATCGTAGAAAGAAACCAAGCTCTGCTCGCAGTTCAGTCGCTGATGTGGCACGGCGTGGCAGCGGGGTCCGGGGAGGGGCGGAGGAGGGCTCGTTAGAACTCGGATCTTGCCCCTGCCCTCGCCCTTTGACGGCAGGCCTTGTAAGGAGCTAGTTTGTTTAAACGGGGTGATCGCTATCGTTTTGGGGAGCTCACAAGGTCGGCATCTTAAGCTTCTGGCATTTCCGAATGGAAGGGCTTGGAGAGGAGCTACCCACGCCTCCAACAGGGCGGTCCAGCCCACCTCAAGGCTTTCCTAGCTACGCTTTCTCTGGGGAGAGAAAAGTAGATGTCAAGAGCACATTACTTGGGGACTGTATTCTATTGAAGGAATAATGAACCTTTTACTGAAATCCGAATTAATCAGAAATGTGATCAACTCTGTGGAGAAGTCCTGGGTGGCTGCTTGAAGGATGCTTGGGGTTCCTATCCTGTTGAGAGGCATAGTACGTGGGAAGAAAGGGAGAACTGGAGAGCTGCACCAAGTACGTTGTTTTCCTTCTGTAGGAAGTCATTTGTACCCTGTGTTCAGCTTTCTAAGTCATTTGTAATCTCTCAGTCGAGCACCTTCCATAGATGCTTCACGATGGGCAGATCATCAAGGACCAATTACCATCAAAAGGCGTCAGATTTATTGACTGCTAGGAGCGCTCTGCAAAAGGAACGTTGATTCCCGATTCAGTTGTTGTCTTGGAGGATTATTGCCTCCATCTGCTAGCCTAGGCACAGTCCTGGAAGCTTCTCACCTCTGTACGATCTAACCTACGGCAGAAGGTTTTCAGCCTCTGAGACTTGCTGCTGAATAAGTTCACCCTGTCTTGTTCTTACTGTGCTCTTAGCTGGCTGGTTCAACTCAGATGTTCTGGCTCGATGTTCTGTCCTCTCCCAGGTAACTTACTCAATATGGCTTTTCTCTTGGCCTCTGAATTGCTCTGCTTGGCCTCAAACTAATTGCAGCAATCTGTTCTAATTTTCTGGCTCCTCATTCTCTGGCTCATTCTTTCATTCAGTCTCTCTCTGTAAAACTCTCCAGGTAAAACTGCCTCCTCTCTCTTCATTCTAGGTTGCTCCTTTAAGTAGCTTCCCTTTCCTCTCTGTTTTCCTGAGAGCTGGGCATATCCTATTTTGTCAAATCTTCCTCTTATTCGTCATTTTTTTTTTTTTGTCACTCAATTAAACACCACTTTCAAACATGGGTGCTTCCTTCTACAAACTAACTTTGCCTTCATTGTTTGACCACCACACCTGGACCTAAGCTTTTCTTTACCTGAAACTTGCTCTATACCAGACTGGCCTTTAACTCAGATCTGCTTACCTCTGTTTCCTGGATTAAAGGTGTGTTTATATTCCAGCCAAATCACATGGACCTAGAAGGTCTTTGGATGTGATTTCTTGCCAGAACAGTCATGTTCTGAACTAGAAGTCCTCTACAAGGCTCTTCAAGAAAGAAAGAAAGAAAGAAAGAAAGAAAGAAAGAAAGAAAGAAAGAAAGAAAGAAAGAAAGAAAGAAAGAAAGAAAGAA